GGATCGGACAAGTTGCCTTGAGGAACGGACGGCGGCGATGAGGATCGGCACAGGTTTTCGGCGATCACGAGCGGTGATGACGGACCTCCTTTTTCTCGTCGTCACCCCTTTTTTATACCTTTTGTTACGTTACTGGGTTTCGCCAATCGCCGATTTTTAGGATAAGTTCCTCATGAATCATTTTTCGGGTTCCTGAGAGATAGGAAACGGCTCCATGGGAAGGAAATATGTATATCCTTTTTTGTAAAATTTTGAAAAATGAAGTTTTTCTTTGTTTAACTATAATAAAGATATTTAATTTAATTTGAACTTCTTTATTTAATTTTATTTTTATCAGTCCGACCCTCACAATTACAAAGATATTTTACATAGGAAATGTTAGATTCATAAAATATATTGGCCTAATTTATCTTAGAATTTGATTGTTATTATTGAATATAAATGTCAAAAAATCTTAGGCATAAAATAGTGCAACTGAGTTCATTACTAATAAAATAATATACTTTAATCTGATTTTACACAATGCATTGCATATACTATATACGATCAAACATTGGTTTTTGAAGGATTCACTTTTCAAAGAAATTGGTTCACAAACAGAATTTTGAAGTCATAATTTCACCGGTTGCCGAACAACCTACTCGGCAAGAGCCAGCCACAGATTAAGAGACATAGATGGTCAAATCCTTCTACTTCCAACATTAAAGAAAGTTGAAGGCTCAACCAATGAACGACAGGGCTAATGATTCAGAAGTTAGTGGTACAAAGATTGCCTCGTGTCATTAGACGTCACATGACTCATTGGTGACGTTGCTATTTAAATCAGATTTCTATGTGCATGCAAGAAATATACTAATTCTGTTTGTTTGGTATGTGTTGCAGTTGAATTTAAATCAAATTAATTAATAAAAATCACATTAATTGACATTCTTATAATATAAATAGCATTTAAGAATTTGTTTAGTGGTGTTTAAGTGAAATTAAATAACAAAAATATATTATTAAATATAATTTCGTTATTATTTCTCATTAGTATACAATTGGTGTTTGTATTATATTTAACAGTATTAATTAAATGCATGAACTTTTAATGAACATCTTTTAGAAAGGTAATGAATACTGCTAAAAAAGTAAAAATGGGGCTCCTTAGGAGGTCAGGAATGGATTAATTCAGTTTGTGTTGTTATTTATAAAACAGAAGTGGACAGCACACCGACCATTTAATAGGAGAAAGTTTTTATCATACAGGCGTTAAATTACAAATAAATGTGGCGAGACCGACAAGAGCTTTCGACGATAATTATTTTCGTCTTTATCAGGTCATTAAAAACGGTTAAATTCCTTTTTTGACTACAAATAACCGACTGTTCCAAGTGTATTAACGTTTTGGAATGAAAGCAACAGTAGAACATAAAATAATTTTTAAATAAAAACACGCGCTGTTATAATGCGCACGTGCTATGTGCCTCCAAATTGTGGAGTTAGATATGTTGTTTTAGATAGTTATACAAATTAATCCACAAAGGTTGAAAATCAAGTGTGGGGGTGTTGCAGTTTGTATTGTTCCTTATGGGAAAATTAGTTTTAGTTTTAGAACAACTTTTAGAAACAAATTGTTTGGAAACAGAGATTTGACTATCTTATTATCTAGATGATGTTACTTGATTAATATGATCAGTTTTTCTGTAATGGATTGGACTCTTATTGTCGTTATGAGAATATTTTAATACACTTAAAACACAAGTATCCATTAGAGAGTGGTGTGTACTCTCTTAGTATGTAAACAATTGGTGCTCCTTAATTAAATTAAGAATTACTTCTCTCGATAAACAATAATATCTAATAAGTTCAAAAATTATATCATCATCAATATTTACAAAATTATTTCTTCTGCCATCTTGAAATTGTGAATAACATCATCTCTGATGCTGTTGTAAAATAACAGTGGATCAATGAGAATTTGGTTAATGCCATGTTTCATGAATATGCTAAAATATTATTATAACCTATATAACAACAAAATACCATCATTGTTTAATCCAGCTCTTAATTTGTTCTTTTTATTTATGTTTTAATACTGTATAGATTTTTAACAAATACTAAAGAGATTACATAGATTGTGACATTTGCTATTAAATTGAACCTTAGCATTGTTTTAGATGTTTATGTTGACATAGAAACAACATACTGCACATCAGTTTGTTTCAAATGAAATATGCCATATTCATCATATATTGTATCAATATACAGTAGATCCCCCTATAAGACGATAGATACGTTCCGTTCTTTATGAATCAATTTTGTAGGAATCATAGTTTACGGACTACGGCTGTTTGAAAGGTTTTCTTTCATAAAATTAATCGATTCTAGACTAATTCGACTCAACATTTCCAAAATACGTATATTTTTTTGAAAATAATCCGTATAAACTACGTTATAAACAAAAAATTGTAGGATTGCTTACCGAGTGTGTACCGTTCGACTACGCCCGTTGCTAAAGCTTGGTTTCGTCGCGGAACAGCGCATCAAACCGCGGCCGCGATTTCTGATATTATTTTTCTGCGAAAACTTCGTTGACCTTTGGAGACATCCTTAATATAAATAATTTTTATGGCCGTTAAATAAGAAATGTTTCTTTCACAAGAAATGTATAAAATTACAGTACTGGACAGACGATAGGTCGCCTAACTCGCCGTAGCGTGACGCTAGACGGCGAAAAATATATATTTAATTATAATAAAGTTACAATAAATTAAGTTAATATATAATTATATATACAGTACCTAATTTATATATAATTAATATATAATTATATGTACAGTACCTAATTTATATATAATTATATGAACAGACGATACTAAACTCAATTTATCCGCCTAAACGTCCGTAGCGTGGCGCTACGGACGGCGGGAAAGTAGTTCGGCTGCCCGATGACGTTTTACGTATTATAGGAGTTATTTTTACCATTGTTTATGGATACTGCCACAATTTTTATAGGAATCATAACTATAGGAAACGGTTTTATAGGGGGATCTACTGTATCTGATAATAGATGATGATCTGGTCTGGTGTACATTGATTTCTTGTTTTGTGGAAAGTATGTAAGTGCACTTTGAAGTTGAGTATGCAACCAAGCCAAATTCATGTTAAGTTGACCCCCTCTATAACGCAGTAGATACGTTCCACTTTATAAGAATTTCATGTTGTAGGAATCCTTAAATACATGAGCCAATCACAGCCCAGCACATGTGCAGTTTACGGACTACGGCTGTTTGAAAGGTTTCCTCCATAAAATTAATCAATTCTAGACTAATTTGACTTAACATTTCCAAAATACGTATATTTTTTGGGAATAATCCGTATAAACTATGCTATAAACAAAAAAAATTTGTAGGATTACTTACTGAGTGTTCACTGTTTGACGACGCCATTGCTTAAGCTTGTTTTCGTCGTGGAGCAGCGCACCGAACGGCAGGTGCGTTTTCTGATAAGTTATTTTTCTTTGAAAAATTTGCTGAACTTTGAAGACATCATTACTAGAAATAATTTTTATGGCTGTTGAATAAGAAATGGTTTTTTCACAAGAAATGTGTAAAATTACAGTACTGTATTAGATTTACAGTACCTAATTTATATACCATACAAACGATAGTAAACTCAACTTACCTGCCTAAACTCTTCGTAGCGTGTAAGTAGTTCGGCTGCTCATCCACTATTGGTCCAGATTCGACCAATCCTGTCATGACACGAGTCATCGATGACGTTTTACCGCATTTTACGAGTCACTTTTAGCGTCTTTATACGAATACGGTCGCAATTTTTTTGCTGCGATATACAAATCCGCATTATATGAACCTGTGTTATAGGGGGTCTACTGTATTTTTCTTTATTAGTTCAAATTGAGGCATAATGCAGTTGAACATTTAATATAGCATTGGACAAGAAACAGCATGCAAAAGAATGCAGAGTGCTGGTTTCAAAAATTCCTTGCAAAAGACATGAACCTACATGTGGTTGTCCAGCCAAATCATCAACATTGATCAAGGAATGTCATTTGGCATAATCAAGTAAATGTGAGATGGCTGCTAAATTTCGTGTTTATTATTCAACAGTGTTCAGACATTTGATTGCTCTAGGAAAGGTCAAAAAGTTGTATAAATGGATGCCTCATGGGTTAAGACAAAAACAACGTGAACCACCTGGAAGTGTACTGTACATTTCTGTCCTGAAAAGACAAAAGGGATAATGGATTTTATAATGATCATTAATGCTGACCATCCAAATTCAAATCAATCATTGGATGCTGAATCATCCGAATATGTAGCAAAGTTAAGTCCATACTGACAGAAGGTTATAGTGACTACATGATCTGCTGCTGGTACTGTCAATTTCTTGTTCTTGAAACAATGTATTTAAAATTTAAAAAATTATTCCAAAACTCTTAAAATATAATTATTATTAGTCACTCAGTCTAACAAAACTGGAATTATTAACAAAATGACATATAATACCTTTCACACTTTTCCAGCAGTATGTTTTAATGTTTGCTTGGTTTATATTTGGATATACATTAAAACATTATATTACTCAAAAAGTGTGCAAAGTGTTGTTATTCATTTTATTATTATTAATTTTATAATTTCAAAAGTTCTCTGGATACAGTTTTTTATCATCATATACTCTATAAGTATATTATAAAAATAAAGATTTAAAAGAAACTTAAATTTAGAAAAGTCAAATAAAATTTGCTAATGAAACAAATTTTTGAGCAGGTAGGCATGCAATAACATTGAGGGTTGCATACTTGACTGTTTAATGTCAATATTTAACTCCTGAAATATGAATTCCTATTTGCTTTTATAATCCATTTTTTCAAAGAACCATATTTTATTAAATTTTATGAAATAATAATAATTAGTAATAATAAGATTTTTGCATTTTTTATTTAATGAAATAATTTTTCTTCAAGGCTAACTTATAATAATTTTTTTATTTTTCAGGGAATACTCTAAGTAATCTTGCTATGTTATTGCCAGCAATATGGGGTGGGTGGCAAGCTTGGAAAGATGGCTTAGAATTAAGATTTCTTCTAAGTCATTTTTTTCTTTTAGGTATGTATATAAAATTAAATTTAATATTGTTTGGAAGTATTTAGTTTATTATTATTATTGTAAGAAAGATACGTAATTTTTTCTTAAATAATCTAAAATAAATTTTCAAATATTTATTTCAGAAATTTCTTAATAATTTAAATTTCTTTTTAATTTGTTAACTTCAAAAATTTCTTTTAATATAATTTAATTTTTGAAAATCAAGATTCCCAATTTTTGTTAAAGATAATTTTAGTTTAGATTTGAAGTTTCTTAAGATTATTATTTGCATATTTTATTTAACCTTAATGCTGAAATTGGAACTGATTTTTTTTATTTTTTTATACCTGGCATAAAGCTAGACGAACATCAAAGGAAGATGGCTTGTTTATTTTATTTTTCATTCTTCAAATTCTTTGTTTATAATGAAGGCTTACTTTATATTTGTTGCTAAACCAAATTAAATGTGGTCCAGGCAAAAAAACGGTGGTTATTTCTGTAGAATTAACTTATGAAGTTTCATCAATTTTTGAGGAATATTTTTTTGAAAAATTGATTTTTAAAAGGAATATAAAGAAAACTGCACCATTGATAAATACATATCTATTACTTGTAAGAAATTCTTGTTTATTATTGTGATTATTATGTTGTGAATGTTATGCTTAGCTGATACTGGTGCCAAGTTTTATGCTAAAGTCAAGGCATAGCTACCCAAACAAGTATAGCATTAAGCCTCTGTGTTATTGGTATATGTGTCAATGTCTAAAAACTTCCTAATAATGTGATTGTTCAATATTATGGCTTTTTGTAATGCCATGTATATGCTTATATTAAGATTTAACATTTCTGGACATTTGTGTAGTGTATGTGGTGTAACTCCAGTAGAAGAGAGGACAGTAGGCATAATATATACTTTATCCTTCCTCTTTATTTCTTGGGCAAGTGGAGTGTTCTTGATTTTTTTTAGTGTGAGCATTTTTTATGTTATGAGTGCTTGAAATCGAGATGTCTATTATATAAGTGATCTTACTGCATATGTCAATGAAAGTGATGTCAGGTTTATTGTGATGAATTGTTTTATTTGTGATTATAGCTCTGTCGTAGTATATTTTGTATGTCATTTTCTAATACTGCCTATAGTATGATACTTGGGTATATAATAATCTATGCTTTGTGCAAGCTCTTGTTATATAATACACCAAGAGCTTGCACAAAAGCATAGATTATTATATTCCCCAGTATTATGCATATGTATATAGTCTGTTTGTGCAAAGAACTTGCAACCAGAGGTTATATTGTGTTGTTTCTGGCAGAATGTGGCATTTTCTGCAAGAGTCATTTGTGAATAATGTATCCTTCAAACTGTGTTTTCTGTAGTTTGTGTTTATGATCTTATCTTGAATGGCAACCATAAAGCCCTCAGTCTCTCCAAACAGGCAACCCCTAGTCAGCCAGTAGTTTGATACAGTTTTTTCGACATAGTCCTGAGCTAGGTTGTAGGCATGCCTTCCATGAAGTGCCTTTTGGACCCATAACTGCTTAGTGATGTCTATGTTATTTAGGTGTTGAGCTATGTCTAAGACATAGCTCAACACCTAAATAACATAAATAATGTTCATAATAAATAAACAATAAGTAATGCTCAGAATGTAAGTTTAGAAGTATGTGGTTACTATCTGCCAGGGTTACAGCTTTATGTTTTCTTGATGTTTCTTGTTTTTTGTGGAAAAACTGCAATGTCAATTTTTTGTTTGTAGTGCAGGTTTATCATATTCATCAGGCCATGCCACCTTCTTTACAAGGATGAGTTAGTCTTTCTATGGATGATTTCAGGTGATATTGACTATGTTTAGTAAGTGTTGTTCTGTTTTCCTTCAGAAGTGCTAGAGATCTGTACATGTCTAGTGTATAACTCCAAAAGAATAAGTGAGTACAGGGATAACATAAGTATTAATAGCTTTAACAGTACATTTAGGTGTGTTTTTAGTACTGCATGTAGTCTGTTTAGGTATTTGAGTGTTAATGTTTGTTTTGTGTGTGCATGATCTGTAAGTTTGGCCTGTTGTAATCCTAAATATTTGTAAAATTTGCCCTCTTCCATGGACTCAGTATCTCCACTTTTGAGTACAAAGTCTCCTTTCTTCATAACTCCTTTTTTCAATGTGTAGTGTTTTGCATTTGTCTAGACCAGTGGTTCCCAACTTATTTTTATCATGGAACTCCTTTCACCCTTAGTAAAAAATATTAGAACCCTGACAATATTTAATGATTATAGATAAAACAGCAAATAGAAACAACAAAAACAGTTTATTGCAAATGTAAGAAAAATGAGCTATTATATATTATGACGTTGTCATAATGATGAGCTTTATAATCATAGTCTTAATTTATTCAATTTTTTAATTTAAAATATATGTTCTCCATCTCAAATTAGTAGTGTCTTGCCCCTGTACATCATACTTTTCCTGATAACAACAGTCATGCCAGTCATCTATATAACTTTTAACAGGGGAAATTTTTGAATTGACTTCCAATATAGACCAGAAGTTTGTGTATGGTTAATTGGGGGCCTCCTGCCACTAAGCTTTCCATATCTGGTCTTGACTTTCATATATCTAACACTGTTCTTTAGATTAAAGGAGGACAGACAGACAGATAGACAATAGTGAAAATTTATAGTGTACATTTACAGAAGAATTTTCTACATGTATCGTCACCAGGGGGCAGCTCTTCTAAAAATATACATTTTCCGGTGCCAATTTCTAGTAGATAAAAAGCAGCCAAAACCCCAAAAGAAGGTATAGATGGATGTAAGCAGGACAACTGTATGTCACCAGTTCCTTTTTTCAGAAATTTTTGTAATTTTAATTGGATGTGTTTTGTGTTTTTTAAAAGGACTCTTTGTAATTTTCCGGTGACAAGCAGCCTACAAAGAAAGGTCAGTCGCCAAGAATGTGTTAGTCTTGGAACACACAAAATATAATACATGGTGATCCTTTTTGGACAGTTTTGTCTTCAATTTTATTAAGAAAATTTATAGGTTTAAAATTTTCAAATTGCAGTCCAAATACTTAAAATATCACAAAACAACTGTAGTGAAAAACTCTAATAATCTTTGATATGCCCATTTATATGCTGTACCATTGTGCTACAACAGACTACAGATGATGGGACGTTAATAAATTAATCTCTTGGCAACAAGTGACACTCGTCTGACATGAGTGTCTTGTCAGTAGTATCATAGTATTTACAGTACCATCAGGCATCTGACTGGCCACTCCCATTATTAGATTTAATAGGCTTGCACTATAGATATTGACAAATTAAAGTATATTTAATGACTATATATATAAAGTTATATATATATAGATAAAGTTTCATTTTGTATTATTTTCGTACTAAAATATTGAATTCAATGTTTCTATAGATCATTTTCATATCATAGACCTTTTTTTCATGTACGCATATAGAGTAATTTATTTTTTCATAATTAAAATTGTTTCTTTCATCAAATTTATCATATCTTTTATGTATCCTAAAATAGAATAATTTAATTATATGCAAAATATATTAGGTTATTTGGAAAGTAATTTCGTTTTTTTTTACCACTAGACGGATTAGTTGTATTTTTCCCGCCATTTTTATTCTAAACTGTATTATCATTATATATTTTGACAGCTAACATTTTAAGGCTTATTTGTAAAAAATTTTGTTTGATTTTCTGCAATTGTTTATTTTTTGTGTCCCATCAAATATGGAAGATCGAAAGCAGCATTTTCGGCATATTTTGCTCTTTTATTACCGAAAAGGTAAGAATGCTGTTCAAGCGAGAAAAAAATTGTGTGACGTGTATGGAGAAGATGTATTGACAGAACGACAGTGCCAAAACTGGTTTACAAAATTTCGTTCTGGCAATTTCAATATTGAAGATGCACCACGTTCTGGATGGCCAGTTGAAGCCAATGAAAACAAAATAAAGGTACTGATTGAAGCAAACTGCCGAATAACAACACGTGAAATCACTAAGAGATTAAATTTGTCAAATTGAACTGTTTATGATTACTTGAAACAAATTGGTTTCGTTTCAAAGCTTGATATATGGGTTCCACATGTTCTTAAAGAGAGATGCTCTCTTTGGTGGGATTTTAAGGAAATTTTTTTTTGGAGCTTTTACCAGACAATTTAACAATTGATTCGAAAGTGTACTGCCATCGAGTAAACAAATTGAGTAATATCATCAAACAGAAAAGGCGGCCAGAATTGATCAACAAAACAGGTGTAGTGTTTTACCACGATAATGTCAAATTTCACACAAGTTTGGTAACTCGTCAGAAACTGTTATAACTTAGATGGGACGTGCTATCGCACCAACCATATTCGCCAGATCGAGCACACTCAGATTATTACTTGTTCCGGTCTATACAAATTTTTTTTAACTGTAAGACATTTACTTGAAATGACAATGTCAAAAATCACTTGGATCAGTTTTTTGTAAGCAACGATCAAAACTTTTATGAATGCTACTACCAGAAATGATGACAACAGGTATTTGACCAAAATGGCCGATAAATAATTCAACAAAATATTTTTATTTATTATAAAAATATTGTGTTTTTTTCCACGGAAAAAAAACGAAATTACTTTCCAAACAACCCGATAGTATAAATGATATCCATGAAATAGTTTAATTAGAAATGACTTCTATAAAAATTTAATTGTAAAACATAAATAATGCTATTATTAAATTTTATTATACTATAGAACTGTATTATTAATTTTATTTAGTTTTATAATTTTGACAGTAGTGTCACATACTTTTAAAAAGTCTAGAAAATATACCAGTACATAACAATCTTGTATAGTTATCATTCTACTTTCTAAAATCTGTTTGAACAAAAGCTTTTATACATAAAATTTCTTCTGGCTTTTTTTCTTTCTCTATATTGAATTTTACAACTTACATATTTTTAACTTATTTAAATTCCTAATTATTTTATTAGTAATTTTAATAAATAACTAAAAATAACAATCTTGAATAATTAAAATACTAAAAGTAATAACGTTGAAATGATTACTGTATTTATAGATTCATGAATACTATTTCTTGAAAACTAAACATGATTAAAGTCCATATTTTCAATCTTTCGGATTTTATTGCCATCAATACTTGTATTAAATAATAATTATATCCTGTGATAAGTTTACAACACAGTAACTGGTTAGACTCTGATTTTGGCTTTATGTTGTATTTCAATCAAATTAATTTAGTTTGCACCGTTACTATTTTTGATTTTTTGTCCTGAACTTAAATGTTTTCATGTGTGTATCAAATGATAATCTTTTATAATGTCACTGCACTTCAATTATCTTAAACTTTAATTCCAAAGTCATTTGCTTTTATGTGACATCATATGTGTATATGAATTAAAATGAAGTGTACAATAGAATGTACAGCTTTTACAGTATTTAATATATTTTTGCTCATTCACTTGTTGAGTGATCATTTGCTGCACTTCTCCATCAGCAATTGAATGCAGATTAATTTATAGTACAAACTGATGTTTTGGGCCATAAATCTATATATTTATTGAAAGGATAACATTATTATGCTATAATTGATTGCCACTATTGACATAATCAATTGTAAAATAAATAAACAATTGCATCATCATAGGAGGATAACCATTGAATAGTAAACTCAAAAAACAACATTAAAATATACCCAAATTTAAAAGGCAGAATTGTTCTAAAATTCAATTCTAATTATTTGAGAACTTGATTATGATCACTTGAACTGATTATGAAGTTAGCACACCCTTCTGAACTGTTTTTCCTGGCTATTTCTTTAATGGATGAAAATTGCAAATTTATATTATCATTAAAATATTTTCAATAAAAAAATTATTAAATAATACCTAACATTATATAAATTTTTCAGTTGTTGGATGTGGTTCTTGGTGGTTTCATATGACACTTCAGTATGGAATGCAAGTAAGTTAATATTCTATAGTATTATTAACTTAAAACTTCAAATTTATTGCAAAATATTTGGAAATCAGAATTCAAAGAAACTTGTAAGTGTAATCAACAGAGTGAATTCGACCATTAAGAATTGGCAAAAGGGTTCCCAATTGTTTGGCTTTACATGAGCAAATTATGTAATTGATTTTTACAAGATTTTTCCTTAAAGTTTAAAATGCCAGTAATTTTTGCTAGACAATGTGTGCAATTACGTGCATTTGATATTTTATTTGTGGTTAAACGAAATAAAATTACAATTGTATTGATTAATCTAATTTTCTTTAGTTTGATCTTGAAAGTCACACCTTGTCCTATATGCGAGATCATCTTATATTCGAGTAAATGCGGTAAAATAATTTTTGAAGGTCACTAAAAGTAGGATAACTTTATATAACACTGTATAAATGAAACTGCTTTCTTCAGGAAGCCAAATTTATTACAACAAGATTTTTATCTATTTTAGGTCATCTTTAGCTTTAAATTGCAAATGTTCAAAAATGAAATGTTTATTACTAACAGGTTTATTCAGAATAATTTTGGCATTTCAGACAAGCCTAAGAACAGTGCCAATGTACTTATAAACATTATGATGCCATTTTAATATCACTTTTTTTTTATGATTCCTGAGGCAGTTCCTCTCTGCCTCATCTATTGACATGGCCCTGATTACCAAGTTTACATAAATCAAATACTGATATTTGAAGTTATGTAATATATAAAAAAGTTATAAATTGTAGAATATTCTCACAATATAAATATTATAATAATAACACTTTTAAAAAAATATGTAACAACATGCAAGTTAATATCAAGACTGTGTGAAAGTGCAAAACAAAGACAAAAAGGCATAAAAAAAAAGCCATAACATTAAGATGTTAAAAGACATTTTAAAAAACTTAAAATTATTAGAATTTGCATGTAAAGTGTTTCACTAGATTGTAAAAATTAATGTTGTCTAATGTTAATTATTGAGTCTAAGACAAATTAATATTAAGATAACTAATTTATTGTTGTTTTGTTATATTTATATTCCAAGAATATTTTATGATTTATAAATTAATTTATAATTTTAAATATTTTGTTTTTACTCTTTGCCCTGTGGACACTAAAAAGACCATTTTTTCCATACCCATTGTGGGTTTAGCTAGGCTTATAATGGAGACAACTGGATGGGATCTGACATATCCAGGATGGACCATCTATAAAAATTTTCTAGGATTGTTTGCCTGGATTCAATCCTAAGTCTTCAGAGTTGATATCTTAACCACTTTGGCCATCTAGCCATCAATATTGATATTTGATTTTTGTAAGCTTTCTAACACGCATTTATTTTTAGACCAAATGATTGCCAAATTATATTGGGCCATACTACTACTATTATTAATTACTTAGCAATTAATTAAAAATATGTAGTAGTAGTAATATAGCTTGATATAATTCTGGAATCATTTGGCTTTAATATATAACTGTTGGGTTTGACTGTTCATTTTTAGACATTTGCAGTCTCAAACCCAAGATAACTTAAGATAGATTGAAAACATTTGTTTTAATAAATACATTTAGTTTTCTGAAGAAAGCAATTTAATTTATATAGTTTACCAAATTATGCCAGTTTTCACATAATTTGTTTATATGGCACTGAAATATTGTAAATGTAACCAACTTATGATGATGATGATTGCATGACAGTTGCAGGGAAGATAACTGAGGGCATTAATGACATTCCTTGTTACATGAACCGTAGCCAGTTTAGGTATAAAAAAAATTGTTTCAAAAATAAAACTGGAAAGTAATTGATGGCTTGTTGCATAATTTTTCAAACAAATCAAATGTTTCAACTATAATAAAAAATAGTGCATATAATAATAACTGTATATATTAATATAACATAATATAACTCATTGTAATTCACTTTGGAACTCACCTATACTGATTGTGATTTCTGATTGATAACATTAAGCATGGTAATTAAATAAGACTACAATTAGTGAAAATTTTAATCTTATTGACTCTAACATTAAAAGGACACATTAAAAGAATTTTTAAAATGTATAACTTGAAGATTTAATTAAACTATATAATGATTATTTAGGTTATTGTTGATAATATAGTTAAAACTATAATTCATTTTTTATCATTAAATTATATTTATTATTTTAAAAGACTATAAGTATAATTTATACTTCTGTATATACCCATTAGCATATCCCGAAACAAATAATTTAATTATATATTTTAGATATGCTAATTCTGTTAACTCTTTTTATGATTATAATAATCAGATTTTATTTTATTTAGATTAATACTATTACATTTATTTTTTAAATAAAAAAATTAAGTATAGTCAATATTTAACAATAAAAATATATGATATTGAAATGTAAACAATTTTGTGAGTGTTGTAGATATAATAATTGAACATACTGTAAGTGAAAATACTGATTTATTTGCCATCAATTTGTTGAATCTTTCTTGTTATATTTGTGGGATTAATTTTAATTTTTCTGTTAGATAAATGCTTTTCTTATAAAATATATATCATATAAATTTTTTATTTTATGAACTATTATCTAACACAGGGGTCGGCAACCTTTTGAGTCGGAAGAGCTGAAATTACAATTTACAAAATTTCAAAGTTTTTAAAGAGCCACAAAATTTTTTCTTGCCAACAATAAATAGTACTCGCATAAATAAAAGTTTTTTGATAAAAAAACTAATCTATTTATTCATAAGAAAAAGTATCTATTTATTCATATATAAGTAGTGTTTTTCACAACAAATTAGATAATAGAAACATCCGACGACAGCGTCATTCGAGAGCTTCCGACGGACTGACGACAGTGACGACGCGTGTCACGGGGGAGGGGTGCGGTGAAAAGCGAGTACAAGTGGCTGAGAGATAGAATCGGTGCCTAATCCTCGTTAATCGATTCAGAACGATTTTTAAATGTTTTTTTTTTTTTTTTTGATAAAATAAATATTTGCGTATGGAACTAAAGAGCCACAGCTTCACACCCAAAGAGCCGCATGTGGCTCGCGTGCTGCAGGTTGCCGACCCCTGATCTAACATAATGAATTTAAATATATATATATTTATTTAAATATTTAAAATTCATTTTAATTTTTTTTATTTCATATTTATTGCACCTTTTGTTTCATTAAGAAAATCTATATATATAAAAATTTCTTTAGATTTTAAGACAATCATATCTATTAAATTTAATCAATTATCTAGTTATTAATTTCTAAACATTCAAAACACTAAATTAAATATTAGAAGATATGTTTAAAGCCTGTAAATATATACATAAGTCATTTAAGTTACAACTCCAGTTATTCATGGGAAGCTACATTAAGCATTAAAAATGACAGTGATCAGATCCAAATATTTGAATTATTTTCTCCATTTCATTAAGCATTTCAATAAATTGGCTGTTTTTATAGTTTATTTTTTAAAATTATTATTTATTGAAAATTATTAATATTAAATATAAAAGATTTAATAATTGTTTTTGAAATTATTTCAGTTATTTGATGAATTACCAATGGTTTGGGGTAGTTTGATATTAGTATATGCCTTGTAAGTATAATAATGAAAGTTTTAATAATTATTTCAGTGAAATTGTTTCTAAAATGTTCAATATAGACTTTCTTTTAATACTAACATGCAACACTTTTGGTAATAAATTTTTCATTACAAATTAACTATATAATGTTTCTAAAATCTGCATGCACACTGCTTATAAACTTATAATAGATATTTAATTATTTTATTCTTATTAATCTAAAATCAAAATGAGCACTATGAATATTATGCAATTAACATTTCTTTTAATTAATGCTTGCTGTACTTACTTACTTTAGAGCTGAGGTTAACAGTCCTCCAAAAAAGCGAAATGTTCCATTAATAATTGGGTTAATACTTTATGGACTTGTAGTAACTATTGTAAGTAATTCTCTTATAACTGATCATGAAATGAAATACTATCATATTAAAAATATAGTAAATCTTGAAAAATGTTTTTAGCAGATAATAAATTAGATTAAAATTTTATTATAATAGTTTTGTATTTAAATTTGATTAATGGATGTTTCCAGTTCAGCATTTCCTTCTGTTTTAAATTTAATTTCTATTTATAAGTGTGTATAGAATAGGATGAATTAGATAAATATATACTATGTGAAAAATAATATTACATATGTAATTTAATTATTCTATAATATAAAAACTGTCATCTATGTGTGTGAATTCCTTATAACTCCTGCAATTTTTGTCCAATCCAGATGAAATTTTGGTTATATTTGTTTTATATTCTGATGGAAACTATAGTCTACTTATTTTGTGGAAATATTTATTAGCTATAGAATAAATATTTTATTAATTTTGCATGTACAGTACATTGCAGTGATGTACTGCACTGACAAGTGACGTTCTTGCTTGATGAGGAGATTTCCCTTAAGTTTTTTAAGTATTTTGGCAAATGGCATATTTTAAACTTTATTAAATTTAAAACTTAAACTTTATAAATAGCTGCACCATGTCACTTCTATAGTAAATTTAAAAAAAAAAAGTTTTCTATAGTGACCATATGACATTCTATTATCCAGTTTGAAGTAACAATCTAAGAAGCCCATTATTTTGGAAGTGTTATCACTCATCTAACTAACGTATCTGTACATACAATTCATCTTTGTTTTATAAACGTGGAATTAAAAAAACTTGCTATTTTGTCAAAAACTGTTTAGGAGAAAGCATAAGAGTAGAATTAGTTAAGTAAATTCTAGATCTAAAAGAATAAGAACAACTGAGACTCCTAAAGGTCGTGAAATTTGACTTGAGCAACATTGAGTAAGAATGACTTTGTCAAGGGCTGCATCTCTATTCTTCTCAATTCTTCAATCTGTTTTCTCATAAAAAATATTCCATCATGCTTGATGGGGGAATTTCTAGTTATTCTATAATGATACAGTATATCTATGGAAAATTCTGGACATCTTTCAATGTTGGAAGCCAAGTATATCTGAAAATAGTGCACAAGAAATTTCATTGACGTTAGCAACTGTTAAAGCGTAGAAACAATGTTTTTTGCTAGAAACTTTTCATATCTGTGAATAATCACATATTTTATTTTAAAAAAAAAAAAGTTTATCTTCAGTATATATTTTCTCCAATTAAAATGAAATTAAGTCAAAGATCATTAATGTGTACAATGTTGAGACACAGACTTCATATCAAATAAGTTAAAATTCTTCATCTTAGCTTTTGTATAGTACCTTTTATAGCTTTCCAATTTTTCTTTAAAGATGGAAGATTATGTTTAGAATAAACATGAATAATGAAAAATATAAATTTCTTTTAATTTAAATTTTTTAATTTTCATTGATTTTGAATTATTCAAAAGCTTACTTTTTGTTATTATTGATTAAATAAAACATATTAGATTTCAACAGAAATATTAATTATAAAATTTTGCCTAAAATGAATATCATAAAGAAAGAAAAATTTTGATTAAAGTTTCAGTACAAATAGTTTCAATAACAAATATCAAATTAAAAATTTTAGAAAAATTTAAATAGAATAAAAAATTTAATTTAATGTAAATGTGGAAACAATTGGAATTCTACTCTATTGCACTTGAATATTTATAAAAATTTGTGTCATGCTGCTTGAAAAATAGTCATGGGTTAAATTTAAAGTTTCTTAAAACATTTATATAAATATTGAAACCTATATTTGTTATGTAAAATTTACAAAATATGACATTGAAAGTATAAGTTAAACCAAGTATATCTTTCTTGGCTCTGACATTTTTCATGAGTAACAATCACTAAAATAACTAATTTTTAATTATATATCACCATCCCGAAGCCCAATGAATTTATGCTAATCCAAACTCTCACAGTAATTAATTGGGCTATTATTATGTTATAATTAATTTTCAATTGAGTTGAGAATATGTTTAAATGTAAAATATTTCATTCAAAAGTATTTAAGTTATTTTTGCACAGATCACGTATTTAGGTCTTTTTATTATTATTCACAAGAAATTTCAGAAACAAAAAACATACAATTGACCTAATTTTATTTTACAAACTTGACCATTTAAACCTGACCTTTTAAAATACAAAATACAGCTTTACGTAGTTAATAAATAAATATTTAATTACTTGTCCATTTAATATTGAATAGATTAACATATTTGGATTTTTTAAATACTATTACTAGTTATTCAAATAAATTTATTTATAGAAAACTGTATAAACATCTATAAATAACATAAAAAACAAGAATAGCATCTGTGTTTAAAAGAAAATAACTTTATTAATTGTTGTTTTATTGTATTATATAAAATTGAGAATATTATGAATATTGATTCATAATTTTCAAACATTTCAGTTTTATAGATTCATTTTCAGAAATAAAACTTTAAATGTGGAACTTTAAACTTAGTTTATTATACCTAACTAATCTGTTAAAAAATCAAATATTAAGAGAATCAAATAAGTAAACAGAACTACATACCAATAATTATATAATATATTAGTGGTTTTACCCTGATCATTTTCAGTGGCCTAATCTGTGCTTTTATTCCACTTTTGCAATGCTTTTCAAATCTATGTTGCAATTGTAATTTTTTTATATAATAGTACTAGTTTTATATGTATAATGCATTGATTAAATAACTATAAATAATGTTTAAAAATATAATAATAATTATTATTAAAAGTTGATATAATTTAAAATAATGTGGAATAAATTAAGTGTAATAAAATTTTATAAAAAGAGCAGATGTCATTTAAACTAATTGACTGCTTGAAATGCTGAAAGAGTTTAATGTGACATTTTACTGTACTTAAAATATTTTCCTTTTTCAAGATTTCAAAATTTTCTGGTAACATTCACAACATTCTTTTTTGACTATCATTTTGTTATTCTGTAAGAATTTTGTTTGTTTAAACATTTTATTTGAAAGAATGAGTGAGACCAATATAACTTTATTATATTAATTAACAATTTCTAATAGTCTACAAATTATATAATTAGAATGTTAAGTAATAAAAAATAAGTCGGTTACATAGATTATGTATTGTTCTATTCAATATGAACTAGTACAAGATGAGTCAAAAGTCAAGGCTGCCCTAAATATCTTCAGAATGAAAAGAGCAACAAGTGTAAGACTGTGTATAACATTTAGATTCAGGGGAATCTTTTTGGCACTATGTTGGTGTCTGTTGGCCATTAGCCTTGTTCATATTGGATTCATTTCAAGAATGTTCAGTGGGAAGAGGGTCATGTGACATAATTTAGGTCAGAATTTTATGAGAAATGCATTGGTGAAGTCTATTTTTCAATATCTGTAACCCATTTTGTGCTAGTAATGATTTGAAATAAAACACTCACATTAGGAAAAATGTTTTAATACAAGTGTTTTGTTAAAGATGAATTTTTTTATGTATCAATAACTATACAGTTGTATGAAAAAATTCAGCTGTAACAACAAAACATATGTATTAAAACATTGATTACATATGTATCACATACATTCACGTGTTCAGTTACATATGATATGCTCAAAATATTCTCCATCTTGAGCCCAAGCCTTAAATGTCTCTCTCAATCAGCATGAACTCAGAAGAATACATTTGCTGTGATCTTTGAGCAGGTTATCTGTGGTATCACCTGAAAGCCATTGTGTATCAGTGCCATATTCATGGCACATTGCCTCAGTCTTAGAATCCTTAATTAAAGCCTGCTCAAAAATGTATAATTTTGTCTCTATACCTTTCTGTGTGACAGCAATAAGCTTTTTTATTTTTGCATGTTTTTGATAGGGGAAAGGTCTGTCTGCCAGTTCGAAGCTAATAGATCAGGCCCGTCTTTGGTACTTGCAAGGCCCTGGGCCAAGAAAAACTTGGAGGCCCTTTTAAGGAATTCATAATGTAGAGTTAATGTTCATAAATTTTTTCAATTAGCTTTCTCTGTTAAACATATTGTTATCTTTATGTTTAATAAAATTTATCAAACATATCTTTTGATTGTTTACTGTTTATAATAATTTTATTACTTGTTGCTCTATTCAATTTTGCATATTTTTGAGGTCTTGAATGTTAGGAGGCCCCTGGGCCCAGCCCTTACAGGCCAACACCTAAAGACGGACCTGTAAGGGATGTGTAATACTTGGTGCATGGCATAGTTTTTAATGTGTATTTTGTACATAATGAGTATTTTATATAGGTAGGCAGAATAAGAGAGTGCCAATTGGTTTGCCAATAGCAGAACCTTTAGCTGAATTTATTGAGAGGCATGTGGAGGAGTGAGTTAGGTGCAAGTTTGGTCTGGACATTGAAATAATGGTTAGGTGTGTAGATGACTTATTAGTCATATGGAAGAAGGGACAAAGAGTTTTTTAGACAATTTTCTGATTTTACATTAGAATTGATGATACAGAAAGAATAGAGCTTACAAGACCATGTACTGTACATTTCTTTGATATATTGCTTTGAAAAGAGACAAAATAGATAAGTAATAAAAGTTTTTAGCAAAGATACATATATCCACTTAAACTCTAAGACCCATGGGAGTATAAAGCAGCTGCATGGGGGCATTAGTATGCAGAGTGCATACAATAACAAGTAATCAAAAAGACTTGGATAGTAAGATTTAGTATCTATGAGGGCTTGCCAAGGAGTATGGGTAGTCAGACCATGTATTTGATTTTTTCAAAAAATACTAATGGGAAATATTGAGAATGGGAAGAAAACAGCTAAAGTGGACCAAGCAGATTTCTTGGTGATTCACTATGGATGTTATAGGAAGAATTTTTAGAGGATGCTAGAGAAGAAGACAAGGGGAAAAAAAGGTCTTTGTAATAAGACAGTTTTGATTTGTTTTGAAATAAGAAAACAAAAATAGAAAAGACCTAGAAATAAAATTTGAGGAAGAGGATCAGGAGACATCAAGAAGACAAAGAAAGGTAGTATAGGAACAACCTTAATGACATAAACATATAACAGAAATGTAGCAGTTTCTATCACAAAGTT